GTCGGAGCCCGGGCCTTGTAATGGGACGGGGGGCAGGGCCGGAGCCGGGACCGGGGCCAGGGCCGGGGCCGGGACTGGGGCCAGGGCCAGGAGCAGGGCTGGGGCCAGGGCCAGGACCCTGGGGCTGGGGTGGGTGGGCTCGGGGCCGGCGACGGCGAGCACTAAATGCGTCGGGAATGGCGTCGGCGTCGGAAATGACGGAAATGGCGTTGGAAATGGCGTCGCCCCCCCCCTCCCCCCTCCTGCAGAGCGAAGATTGAGCGAGCTCAAGCCCACGCTCTCAGAAACTCACACGCCGGATCGGCGGATATGTATGTATGTATGTGTGTATAACCAGGGTTGTATATGTAATTAAATATGTGTTTATATATAAGTATATTATATGGATTCATCGAAATTGTACAGTACATTTACACACACGCACACACATATTTGCATACCCAGTCATTCATTCATTTATGCATTCATTCATTCATTGATTCATTCATTCATTCATTCATTCATACATACATACATACATACATACGCACACACATACATACATACATACATACATACATACATACATACATACATACATACATACATACATACATGCATACATACATGCATACATACACCTACCTACCTACCTACCTACCTACCTACCTACCTACCTACCTACCTACCTACCTACATACATACATACATACATACATACATACATACATACATACATACATACACACATACACACATACACACATACACACACATACCTCCATACATACATGCATGCATACGATACGAATTCATTCATTCATTCATTCATTCATTCATTCATTCATTCATTCATTCATTCATTCATTCATTCATTCACACAGATACATACATTCATTTGCACACATCCATACACATACATACATACATACATACAGACAGACAGACAGACAGACAGACAGACAGACAGACAGACAGACAGACAGACGCACGTACGTACGTACGTACATACATACATACATATCAACAAGGTGTTTATACTATATGTTCGGTTCAGACATGCCTTCTGCGTCCCAGGCGACCATGACGACGACCCGCCCCGCTGTGTGCGCCACGACCTCGACGATCCGCCCCGCGCTTTCGCTTGCGCGCGCGCCCGCGCCCGCGCAGCCCGGTGGAGCAGCGCGCCATACTGGCTCCGTTCATGGGGCCAGAGGCAGCCGCCCCTTGGGGGGGAAGCCGAGTCGGTCGGCCGGACGTTTTCAGGACCGCCTACGATCCGGCTCGATACGATCCGATTCGCTGGCTGAGGCCGTGGTTCCGATTCCGTTCTATTCGATTTGCCAGCATCGGTCAGGGCCAGCTGGAGCCAGGCGCGGCGATTCGATTTTGGTTTCGATGTAGATGTCGATTCGATTCGGGACGATTCGCTGGCTCTCCGATCCGCTTCCGATCCGATCCGATTTGGTGATGGGGCCCAGCGAAGGCCTGCGTTTTCGTTGGTCCTCGCATGTCATCCGTCTGTTCCTCATTGGCTCTCCAGCCTCGGGGAGCTTTCCACCAGCAGCCGCGCCTCGCCGAGAGACGTCTGGGGGTGCTGGGCTCGTCCCGAGCTGCCGCCGCAGACCAGAGGCACGACCCGAAAGCCAGACGACGAGGAGGGAGGGGAGGGGGGAGCGAGGCGTCCCCAGCGAAAGCAGCAGGGCAAAGGAGGAGGAGGAGGAGGAGGAGGAGGAGGAGGAGGAGGAGGAGGAGGTGGAGGAGGAGGAGGAGGAGGAGGAGGAGGAGGAGGAGGAGCAGGAGGAGGAGGAGGGGTCCTGCCAGAGTTCTGGCACGGGGCTCGAGGCTCCTCGGGCCCTTCCCTTCGCTTTGCTCGGGCCTTCCTGCGCGCGCTACTGGCTCCGTCCAGAGGGCTGGATACTGCCGACCAGGGAGGGTCGGACGGGGCCAGGACGAGGATATATATAACGGTCCCGAGCGCACCGGAACGCTCTCAGAGCGTTCCAGAACGCTCTGAGAAGGCCGCGGCGCCCGAGACATCCTCCCGAGCCGCTGGATCTCCGAGATTCCCGAGTCATCCTCACCCGGCTTTGTCCTCATCCTGGCCCCGTCTTGCCCCAGAGGTCTCGACCCATTACCCGGGACCGGTTTCCCATCCCGCGCCGTTTGTTTGCCGCTCCCGAGGCCCGGCAAGGCCCCCAGAGACCGATTTATCCCTATCGCATTCATTGGAGAGGCCTGACGGCCGGTGCCGCCGACCCTGATCGAAGGGGCTTTCTGGGGGCTTTCTGGGACCGCTTTATCCTCATCGCATTTCTTCTCGTCCTGGCTTCCTCGCAGGGAGGCGCCTGCCGTTTTGCCACGCGGGGCGCTCCGGCGCGGGGCGTCGGCCCTCGGCGGGGCCCGGGCGTCGGCGCCCGCGCCCCTCGCCGGCGGAGGCCTGAGCGAGGGGGCCGCTCCCCCGGCGGAGGCCGCCGGAGGGCAGGCGGAGGCGGGCAGGAGCAAGACCCTGACCTTCCAGGAGGGCTCAAAAATGGCACGCGACTTAAAAACCTATCCCAGAGCTATTCTACGTCTTGGTTTTAGGCTGTTTCGTCTCGTTTTTTAGGTTTTTAGGTCTCCAGTGCTGAAAAATAGCTCTCTGGAAGGTCAGGGGAGTTGCCCCCCCCAGGATCCTCGAGTCCTGCTCGGCGGCGCGCCCGGGGGGGAAGCGAGAGGGAGAATGCCTCCCCGCAGAGGCGGCGGGCTCCTCGGGAGCCCGCGGCGGGCTCCCGAGACGTCCTCCGCCTCTGCGGGGAGGGCCGGGGCAGACTGCCCGGAAGGCCACAGGCCTTCCGGGCCCTCTGAGAGGGCCCGCCCCGTCTGCGAAGGCCCGCCACGCCCCTGAGGAGGCTCGCCGCCGACTTGCGTTGTGGGGGGCGATCCATGGAGAGGAGGCGTGTTGCCAAGTAATTTCCAGATGCCTAAAAGATATGTCAAGCATGTTTTACACATGTAAACAACGTGTTCAAAAAATGTTTAGAAGATGTTTCCGACATTTTGAACACATTTTACACTCAAGGTCGTGGCATCCACAAGCCTTGCGCCTCCCCGATCGCGGCCACTCGCGGCCGCGCATGGCCGGTGCTTCCAGGTGAGGGGCCGCCGAAGGCCGGCGAGGGAGGCATGGCAGCTGGGCCGGCGCCGCCAGAGCGGCCATGCTGCCCGGGGCTCTGTGGCGGTGGTCGCCTGCGCCGGGGAGGCGCCTCTGCTGCCTCTGGGGGGGGAGGAGGACGAGGAGGAGGAGGAGGAGGAGGAGGAGGCTGGGGACGATGATGGTGGTGGTGGCGGTAGTGGTGATGACGACGACAATGATGGTGGTGGTGCGAAGACGAGGCCGAGGACGACGACGTGGACGATGATGATGAGGAGGAGCAGGTGGAGGAGAAGGAGAAGATAGAGGATAACTATGTGTTGAGTATATTGATGACGCCGATGATGCTGATGATGATGGTGGTAATGATGATGCTGCTGCTGATGATGATGAAGATGAGGAAGACGATGATGATTTGTTGTTGTGATCTTGGTGCTGATGCTGATATTGATGAGGATAATGCTAACAAGGCTGATAATGATGCTGATGAGGATGAGGATGAGCATGCGGGTGATGGTGTGGGTGAGGGTGAGGACGATGACGATGCCGCTGCTGTCGATAATGCTTATAGTGATGATTCGGATAAATATGCTAATGATGATGATGATGATGATGATGATGATGATGATGATGCTGATGATGATGATGATGATGGTCGTGGTGGTGGTGATGATGACGAGGACGACGAGGACGACGACGACGGAGACGACGCCGACGGAGACGACGACGATGATGATGATGATGATGATGATGATGATGATGATGATGATGATGTTGATGATGGTACTGATGATGAGGATGAGGATGCGGATGCGGGTGATGGTGTCGGCGAGGGTGAGGACGATGACGATGCCCCTGCTGATGATCATGCTCATGGTGATGATTAGGATGGACATGCTGATGATGATGATGATGATGATGATGATGATGATGATGATGATGATGATGATGGTGGTAGTGGTGGTGGTTGTGGTAATGATGACGAGGAAGGCGAAAACGACGACGAGTCGAGTGCTGACGACGACGACGACGACGACGACGACGACGAGGATGATGATGATGATGATGATGATGATGATGATGATGATGATGATGATGATGCTGAAGATGACGATTCTTATGATGATGAAGATGGTGATGACGATGACGATGATGATGATGATGATGATGATGATGATGATGATGATGATGATGATGATGATGATGACGATGATGATGCTGATGACTCTTCGGACGGGGGCGGTCCTCCGAAGCGGGGCACCCACCTGGCTGCGCGCCTGTGGGGTGGGCCGCTCTGCATGGAAGCAGCGCGGGCCTGGACCCGAGAGGCCAGGTCTCGGGAGCTTATACTATATCCGCTCGCTATTGCGATGCTCCGAGGCCCTGGTTGTTTTGCTGCTTGTGCAGAGACCGCCTCCTGTGGACCTATTCGATTCGATTCGATGATGATGATGCTGATGATGATGATGATGATGCTGATGATGATGATGATGATGATGATGATGATGATGGTGATGATGATGATGATGATGGTGATGATGATGATGATGGTGATGATGATGCTGCTTATGATGATGATCATGACGGTGATGACGAAGAGAAGGAGGAGTCGGAGGATGAGGATGATGATAATGATAGTGACGGCGATAGTGATGATGGTGGTAACGATGCTAATGACGTTGATGATGGTGAGGATGATGATGCTGATGACGACGATGATGCAGATGAGGATGAGGAGGAGGGGGAGTTTGACGATGATGATGATGATGATGATTATGATGATGGGCATAATGATGATGACGACGATGGTGAGGAGGAGAAGGAGGATTCTGCTGATGATATCGAATAGGACGCCGATGCAGATGATTATGATGATGATGCTGCTGATGATCATTTCGATGATAATGATGGCGATGAGGATGAGGAGGACGAGGACGAATACTGAGATGACTACGACGATGATGATGCTGCTGATGATGACGACGATGATGAAGTTGATAATGACGATTCTATTTATGCTGAGTATGATGATGGTGACGATGGTGAGGATCCTGATGGCGGTGATAATGCTGCTGATGATGGTGGTGGTGATGAGATCAGAATGACGAGGAGGAAGAGGAGGTGGATGATGATGATGCTGATAATGCTGGTAACGATGATGACGACGCTGACGATACCGATGCTGATGATGATGCTGATGTTGATGTTGATGTTGATGTTGATGATGATGATGACGATGATGATGATGATGATGATGATGGTGATGATGATGATGATGGTGATGATGATGGTGCTGATGATGATGATGATGATGATGACTGTGCCGATGGTGGTGATGGATGATGATGCTGCTGCTGGTGATGATGATGATGAGGAGGAGGATGCTGCCGAGGAGGATGATGCCTAGGATGCTGATGATGATACTGTTGCTGATTATGATTAGGGTGCGGCGTATGCGGGTGAGGGTGCGGGTAATGGTGAGGGTGAGGGTAATGCTCAGCGATGATGATGGTGATGGTGACAATGATGATGCTGATGATAATGGTGATGATGGTGATGATGGTGGTGACGATGATGATGTCGGTGATGACTAGCATGAAGAAGCTTATGCTGATGCTGATGATGATGACGCAGATGCCGCTGATGATGATGACGGCATTGATGTTGATGATGATTTTTTTGTGTGGTGGTGATCGTCATGGCGATTGTAATGGCGATGATGCTGCTGATGATGATGCTGATGACGACGACAACGATGATGATGATAATCATGATGATGATGATGATGATGATGATGTTGGTATTGATGATGCTCCTGATGCTGGGAATGATGATGACGACGATGCCGACGACTTCGACCATGACGACGACGAGGTCGAGGATGATGAGGACGATGACGACGAGGAAGACGATGACGAGGAGGAGGGCAGAATGATGATGATTGATGATGGTGATGACAACGATGATGCTGATGATGATGATGATTGTGATGCTGCTGCTGATGATGATGATGATGATTTCGATGACGATGACGTTGAGGATGATGATGATGCTGCTGCTGATGATGATGATGATTATGATGCTGATGCATATGACGATCATGCTGATGGTGATGATCATGATGATGATGATGACGAGGATGATGATGATGCTGATGATGGTGAGGATGATGGTAATGATGATGATGACGATGATGATGATGATGATGATGATGATGATGCAGATGCTGCTGATGATGATCATGAACATGATGCTGCTGCTGCTGATGATGATGATGATGATGATGATGAAGATGCTGATTATAACGATGATGCTGATGGTGATGATGATAGTGCTGCAGATGATGCTGCTGATGCAATTGAGGACGATTAGTATTATCCAACTGCCTGCGGCAAGTCCCGCCTCCGTGTCAGCCCAGTTTTCGGAGTGGCGACTGTCCGAGGGGGCACCGGAGGCCGTCACCTGTGACACCTCGTTTTTCCAGTCTCGGGAGAGCCGTGAGTATGATGATGATGATGATGATGATGATGATGATGATTACGATAATGATGGGCTTGTCGACGACGACGACGACGGTAATGATGATGATGATGATGATGCTGATGATGATGATGTTGGTGGTGGTGGTGGTGATGCTGATACTGCTGCGTTGATGATGAGGATGATGACGATGATGATGATGATGATGATGATGATGATGATGAGGGTGATGATGAGGATGCTGATGCGGCTGGTGATGAGGATTCTGATGCTGATGATGATGCTGATGATCATGTTGATCCGGATGCTGATTATGATGATGATGATGATGGTGGTGTTGGTGATGGTGGTGATGATACCGTTTATATGATGATGATGTTGTTGATGATGATGATGATGATGATGAGGGTGCTGACGAGGATGCTGATGAGGCTGGTGATGCTGATGATGCTGATGATGCTTATGCTGATGAGGGTGATGATCATGATGATGGTGGTAGTGGTGGTGGTGTTGATGACGATGATGATGATCATGATGATGGTTATGATGATGCTGATGCTGATGCTGATGCTGATGCTGATGCTGATGCTGATGCTGATGCTGATGCTGTCGATGATGATGATGCTGATGATGATGATGATGATGATGATGATGATGATGATGATGATGATGAGGCGAAGACGACGACGACGGGCGACGATCCGTGAAACTGTCGTCACTTTCGAGAGCTGCTGGTGGGTCCAGCGGAGTGAGGCACCGCGCGGATCTGAGCGGTAGCTCGCCGTTCCTGGGGGGCCGCGATCTGCGAAGCCGTCGCCACTTTCGAGGGCTACTGGTGGGTCCAGCGGAGTGAGGCACCGCGCGGATCTGAGCGGTAGCTCGCCGTTCTTGGGGGGTTGCGATCTGCG